TTAGTCACCAAGTGTCCTGCGTTGACGTTTCGGGGAATCTCCTCCACACCTTGAGCAGAACCGTTGGAGCTGAGTGGATACAGGATGACTGGAGCGTTGTCGTTCTGATCCAGGATGAAGACGCTGATTGTGACGTTGCTGCTTAGTGACGGAGTTCCAGAATCTGAGGCAACAACTTGGAACTGGAAAGTTTTCAGCGTTTCAAAGTCAAAACTTTTCAGCGCAGTGATTTGTCCATTATCCGAATGTACATTCAGGAAAGATGTAATAGCATCCTGTAGACCATCACCTCTCACGATGTGATATGTAATCGCTGCATTTTCATTCAAATCATCATCAACTGCGCTCACAGAAAATATTGGTGCGCCCGGGGTGTTGTTTTCTATCAAATACAACTCAAATGGATTCTGACTAAAAACTGGTCTGTTGTCATTTACATCTGACACCTGAACACTCAGTGTTTTTACTGTTGAAAGTTGAGGTTCACCGCAATCAGTAGCTGTTATTGTGATATCATAGCGGGAAACAGTTTCTCTGTCTAAACGGCCCTTTGTAACGAGCGAATACATGTTTTCCTCAAGTGATGGCCTCAGATCAAATGGAACATCCTGCGATACTTTACAAATAACCTTCCCATTAACGCCTGAATCTTTGTCCACAACGCTGATGAGAGCGATGACAGTGCCGGGTTTTGAATCCTCTGGGATTAAGCTGGACAGTGACGTTACTTCAATGTCTGGTTTATTGTCGTTCACGTCCTTTATTTTAATCACAACTCTACTTTCGGCTGTCCAGGGTGGCTGACCTTTATCTGAAGCCTGCAAATCTAGCCTGTACAGCTCCGTTTCCTCAAAGTCTACGTTTCCCTTTACACGAATCTCACCGGTTATGCTGTCCAATTCAAAGGTGTCGTGCACCTTTTTCTTTTGTGTTTTTCCAAAGTTGTATTCAATTTCACTATTCAAACCTTCATCCTTATCTGTAGCGTTTAATTTTATAACTAGGGTCCCGTTTGGTGCATTTTCATCCAGTGACACAGTATATACATCTTTGCTGAACACAGGTCGGTTATCATTCGCGTCTAGCACGGTGATGGTTAAATTAAGGTTTCCTGATTTCGCTGGACTCCCCCCATCAACGGCTGTTAACAGTAAACGATGCTCTGCCTTTTGCTCTCTATCCAAAGGCCTTTTTAGCACTAAAAAGGGCATCTTGTCCTCTTCACTGTCTCTGACTTCAATATCAAATAAATCCGTGGGATTCAGTGTGTATTTTCGAACTGAATGTGCACCAAAATCGGGGTCTCGGGCAGCATGAATTTGGAAACGATTACCTGGAGGAGTATTCTCCGCGATTTTCAGTCGCTGTTCGCTTTCTGGAAAGGTCGGTGAATTATCATTAATATCGGTTATTTCAACTCCAACATAATGTATTTCCAGTGGGCTTTCAACAACAATTTTCAGGTTTATCAAACAAACCTTGCTTCCATCACAGAGCTCTTCACGATCCATCTTTTTCCCAACATACAACACTCCATTGTTCTGATTTAACTGAAACAGATCGTGATTTGGACCCGAAACAATACGAAATTTCCTGCCAGTTAAACTGCTGATCTCTAGTCCTAAATCCTTTGCAACATTTCCAACAGGGTATCCCACCTGAACTTCTTCTGGAACGGAGTATCTTAACTGGGCCAAAATCCTCTCCGCAAAGCACAGCAACACAATCCCGGCGACCCACCAGCAATTCGCACGGTGTCTTTGTCCTCCTTCCCCCATCCCGACGTAAATATATAAGGGCTTACTCGGATGAAAACTCAGTGATCCCATCGCTTATGAAGTCAGTCTTATTAGAATATGTTCACGAATCTCTAAAAGGTGAAATTCCATTGACGAAAATTAACCGCTGTTCGTTTTATTTGATATCTAGCCTCATTTGCACACTCCCTGTGTACACCTCCACCAGATAAGAACCACAGATGGGCAGGGCCTGTATAGAATGAAGCGCAACCATTCCCTATGCCATACTGACACCAAGTGGTCACTACAGTATGATACGAAACCAAAACACTACACCTGTTCCCTTTTCCCGCCACTTTACTTTTGACTTTTCGAAGTCTAACGCTTTGACGGAAACTGAACCCTGCCTGCTACAGCTGGTCGCCGTCATATCTGGTATTCTGTCAAAAACTCAAAACTGTGAGTCAAATGTCTTTTATTAGAAAGTAAATAGGATCAATAATAATGCCTTCAGTGGAAAATACTTAAAGGGCACGCAATCCCACCTACTACAGACTTTTTGATGGTGTATAATTAAGTCAGGGCAGACAGGAAAGATATACTGTATGTTCCACAGAAGCGGAGCGTAAGAATGCTGAGAGAAATGCACATCTAAACGTTATTTGAAAGACCGGTGAAGTGATTGTTGTCTTAAATGGTTAATTCCCCAGAATTAAACAATTTCAGCACATTGGACAGCGCAGTTACGCTGACACAGTCAAAAGAGGAAATATCTATAACGATAACTGCATTTATCGTTTTTATTTTTCTATTTTTAATAACACTGTCTTCACTTACTTAAACTGATTAATGTTTGTCAGCAGCAAGCAAGACAAGCCTGGGTACTTTCTTGAAGAGAACAGATTGGCTTCGGAAGCAAATAATTTTTTTACAGCTAACCTTAACCGATGTTCCATAATACATATATGTCAGTTACATAATTGGAACATTTGAACAAAAGTGAAACACATGCTTTAAAATACCACATTGTGACAAGAGTTTCAGAGACAGCATTACAGCAAAAAAAAACTAGAGGAACGCAAGGATAAACGTGGTTGTGCATAAGATTGGTATTAAGGTCTTACCTCTTCAGTAGCACGTCTTCTGTCGGGAAGCACAAGTGTATTTGCATGGCTTCCTGGTACTATAGTAGATCCTATACTCATTCTGGGTCCAACGAGCATGTACCGCTTCTCTCCTGATCTGTACTGGATGCTGTGACACAGTGTTCCATCATAATTAGTCTCTGG